GAGAGAGAGAGAGAGAGAGAGAGAGAGAGAGAGAGTAATGAGGGACAGATAGCGAGACAGTATCGGATAAAGGTCAGAGGAGGTTTGTACATCTAGCATGAATGCTGGAGTGGATGATCCCTGAGAAATGTCGGGAAACAGAGCTCTCTGAAGACAGAATCAGAAGAGCAATGTTTACCACACACTCAATGTCATATTCCATCTGTGATATGGCATTTAAATGCAAAGGAGGAAGGAAATCGCCGCCAAGATCAAGTAAATATTCATAGGGAGAATCTTTATAAAGCTTGGGTAATGCAGACTCAGAATAACACATCTGAATTAGTGGCAACACAAGTGTGACTGGGTCATTCTATTGTACGGATGATAGTAACATCTCCTCCGAGACCACAGTAAACCGCTCGCAAATCCCCAGAGCATGCACACTCATTTCATCAAGGTCTTCAACAAAATGGCACAATTCCCAATAACATCTTTCACATCTTAACATAAATCTCTCAAGGGCCATTACACAAAGGGTACGAGAGACACAGTTCAAAGAAAAAGTGGTGTCAGCGAATCAAAAGGCGCAGCTATATCGGTCAACACTGTCTGTAAATGAAATAACAGGCCGAATCCAGTTAGGCGGACAAAAACCCACCATTGGCAATTTCAGCAGGGGGCGATGGTTTTAATAGAGCTTTTCCCATTACAAATCCAGTATCTGGCCCCCTGTCTTTGCGGATTAATTACAGATGAGTGGGATTACAGAGATGGATGACATGGGGAGAAGGAGCCTCGGCTGCCTCAGGTGCGCATGGGATAAGCCGAGGACAGGCACAATGGGGCAGCTCCACGTGTACACACACCCTATCGACCGTGGTACACAGAAAATGACTACTTGTCTAGCGGTGGGAGTGCTTTTCATTTGTCTGAGTTATTGAATGGCAAGCGTCATGGGGTGATATCATTTGATCTAATTGAATGCACAAAGATAGTACGTCTGTAGAAGGGCAGGTGAGGTGGGGGAAAGGTGAGGTGAACTGGACTATTTCATCAGAAACCTGGAGCCAAACCACCATCCTACTAAATGGATTACCAGCATCTCTAAACATTTGATTTAATAAGTTGTTTTTATGAGCAACAAATTCAATATAGATATATCAGGGATATTAGAGACAGAAAATTCAATCCAAAGGAACTGGGAAGCAACCAAAGCCTCGCTGTGGATAATTCAATACTGCCCAGGGAGCAACGCGCCTGGCCATCCGAGCATCAGCAAATTCAATCCCGCATGAGGGGGCTGGTCTGTCTGATGGGAGGGAGGCCAGACTGCTCGGCTGTGGAGCTCGAGTTATGGATGACTCCGAGTCCAGGCATCAGGGAGAACACTCGATGGCCATGATGGAAAGAGGAGGAGAGATGGAAAAAGAAATGACTTATTGAAGGAGGAAGCTCCGAACATGTGCACAATAACCCTTAAGCCTTGAGTTTCATAGAGAGATTCAAATTCCCAGAAGCCCAAAAATCAAACTAGCGTTTACTCCTGACATATTTCTTTATTTATTCCTCTATTAGAGCCAAAGCTCTGAGAAGAACGACCACACTCGAATAATAACAAAAGCATCTCTGAGTCCTGTTAATATCGCAGGTCAGCCACAGACTGGAACGCTTCGGGCGAGGTTTGGGTACTGTGTAATTATTTATATCAATTGTGGTTTGGGTCTGACAGTGCAAACGCAGAGTAGTGACACAGGCATCTGTGTAAGAAAACCATCTTAACATCTTCAGCTAAGACAATGTCTGCTGCACAAACAGACCACAGCTCTGAAAACTGGCACGGCGTCACCGCAGAGCCTGGAAGGGGGCTCGAGTCAGGCAGCAAATCCTCTCAAAAAGAGTGAAGATTTAGCATTAACGTCTCTAAATGTAGATATATGAATGTCTGATTGTATAGCATTACCATGAAGTGGACAAGAAGCTCCTCAGTACTTACAGTGTCCGCAGCTTGGGCATGTGGTTGAAGCTTGACAGCGGGATGAGGGTGATGTTGTTGTTGTTGAGAGTGCTAGAAGGAAAAGAAGAGAGAACAAATATTAGAAAAAGGCATTTACTTAGTAAACAGACAGCGAGTGACTCCAGATAACATTTGGGAATGAAGACCAGACCATGCACAACAGCGTTTTGCTGAATTCACTGAACCATGTATGCAAGCCTGTTTTCTTAGAGTAAAATATAAAAAAGTAATTGTTAGATAACTTTTTAAATAAGAAAAAGTCACTGGGAGTAGTGTGTTCACATAAGCGTATAATGTCTGAATGATATCATCGATGATGTGCACACTTATAATTATGGATGGTGGTGCTCTCTGCTTCCTGTCATACCAGCCACAGTTCTGATTAGTGCTACTTAGTTGACCTAATCTTGCAATCAGTCCATCCCACCCCATAACCCCCCAACCTATCGCACACATGCAGAACACACAGCCTCCTGTACCTCCACCTCTTGGAAAAGGGTCTGGAATTTCTCAATTTAGGATTTTAATGGTTCCTGCTTGGTGAGGAAAAACTGCAGAATCTCTCAGACTATGCCAACTCAGTTTACAGCTTGGGTTTGGGGTCTGAATGTTCCTTCTAATTAATCCTCCAAAAGCCCCTCTTGAGTACAGTGCATCCATGATTTACATTTACATTTATGGATTTGGAAGATGCCTTTTATCCAAAGTGAATTAGATTGCATTCAAGTTATACACTTTTTTTTTGTTTCCAATTCATTCATTCCTGGGAACTGAACCCATGACCATGTTCTACTGTTTGAGCTACACGAAGACAAACAGTCTCATAATCTCAGAGCCTACTGACTGATCAGACCAGCTGCTGGTCTTGCTTTTTATCCAAGGCTGGTTAATTCAGTCTCAACACAAACAAGCTATTTACACTATTTACCATTGGAGTGATCAGATTTACAATTCTGACCAATGGAAATTTCCCAACCCGAGTCCATTTCTTGGTACTATAAAATTGCACAAATCAGAGGAAAGCTAATCCCTCTAAAATATAACATTCTTGTGGGACTTTAAATGATATCTGAATATTGATTTTGGCTTGGATCTTTGGTGGAACACTTTATTATGAGTGATGGAAAGGAGAAAACTAACTAAATGGAATGGAAAATGATTGTTATTCTACACATAGACACACAGACAATTCCACACAAATTACACACAGGGTGAAGGAATCACCCTTGCGAAGAGTTGACCAAATCCGCACCAGAAATTGATCCTCTTGTCAAGGCTGCTGCGGCTCAGAGGTTTCATTGCTGTTCTCTGCTGCTCTATAGAGATGTAAATAGAAGAAGCTCTGGGCAAGCCGGAGGGAGGAATGCCCTGGTAAAAGCCTGTAATACCAAACCAACACCGAGGGAAAATGCACTTTGCTCAGGAAGGACTATCTCTTATCTATGAAACCTTGGGAGCATCCTCCAAAGTTAGTTGAAGTAAGTGAAGAAAAAACAGAACATAAATGAATACAAGTCTGAGAACTGAAGAAGGACTGTTAAAGAGAGAACAGGATCCACAGAGAGCGGCGAACAGCTTGTGCTTGCTGTGGTAGTGCTCTCTCGCTCATTCATATTTCAGCCATCCGGTTTCCAGGATTAGAAGCTCTGAGTAAAAATAAATCTCATATAGATTTAATTCATGCAGTCATAATTTGAAAAAGCTGGAGCCGGACGGGGGCGTCACAGTTACGTTAAGTCGGCTTAAACCTGACATGTTCATGCCGAGAGCCATGACCTTTGGTGTCTCAGAGGATCGACTGCACCTGTTATTACGGACGTCTTAAGCTTTGCTGCAAGAAACACTGAGCACTGGACCAAGGGTCTTAAAGAAGATCCCACCAGAGAGATGCTGTCTTCCGCAAGACTGTCTTCCCTTTATCCAGCCCTCCGCACTGCAGAGGGCCGGCCACTGCTGCAGCGTGGGATCTCAGCAAATAACAGTGCAGCATGAGTGGCTCGTGCTAAAGCCACTTGTGATAAATGAAGATCACCTTGAGTCTTTAACATTCCTTTGTCTTCATCGCCGGCAATATTAAGTCATTCCGCCTGTGTCGCCTTGTAGTTGACCATAAATCAAAAATGTGAGAAGGACCACATTCACAGTGTCTCCTGAGAAAGTGCATCCAAGCTGAAATTAAATGAAATCAATGCTGGATCCTAACAAATACAGCGCTGTACAGCTTGACTGTGTAACTTTATGATTTTATTTAAAGCTCTATTGATGCAGGCATCAATAAAACCGGGCAGCTGTTAATGGCTCACAACGCTTGGTCTTCAGACCGTCTCAGAGGGGCACGTTTTCTTTTTACTTCCCTTTCCTTTTCTCGGCTATGTCAAGAAAGCTTTCCCACAGTCGCAAAAAGCTCGACAGTGGGGTTTTGAGTGCTCTGAGGCTTTCTTCAGGCCCTCATTAGAGGGACTTGGAGAGGGTCTCTGGATACTTCACTCCAGTGTTCTCAGAGCCAGGACATTTCGAAATAAGAGTGAGGTTGTTTTGGTGGATGCAGGGGGCTGAAGGGAAATAACTGAAGTGCTCCCGGCATCTGACTTAGTGCCATTCACTTGCACAACTGAGAAATCAGGAGGCAAAGACAAGCGTTATTTGACATGGCAGGCTTGAGGAAAGTCAATACTCTTCCTGTGAGTGTGTAACTGTCCTGGTAATTGGCCATTATTCTAAATCACTCTGGTAAGAAATCTTGCGTTAATATATATAAATGTAAAGGATGATGGTGTTCGGCTCAACTTTTTGTCTTCTCAATCCTTTGTCTCCTTCATATGGTGTAAAACCGAGTGCTATATAGAGTAGGGAATATACACAACCTTCACTTAATCTCTTGGAAACTCGAGTGAGCCAACATGTCTGTGATGTAGTCATGGATCCATGGGAAACTATTATCACTACTACAGCACAATAGTGAGTTTGCAATACAAGCGTCCATCTGAGCAACCATTTACAGGGCATCCCTGTGTTGGGCCCTCGAGTCAAAACAAATGAATAAAGTGCCTCCAGATGGAGAGCAATTTCATTATGAGTGCTCAGACTCCACTTGTTGCAGTGTGATGGAATTCATGTGAACAGGATGGAAATCTTTGCCATCGTTTTGCTTAGAATCGCAAGTTCAGCTACAGCACAAAGCCACAATCAGATGTTATTCTGCTAATTCAAATAAACCCAGTGAGGATAAACACAGAAATAACATGATCTGCCGTGCATAATCCCATCCATGTGGTTTGCGTCCAAGTGTAGGCTTATTAAAAAAAAAAGAAACACTAGTGCTTAGCATTTGTAACTAAAAAAATGGGAAGCTTTATGGCTGCTAAAACCTACCCTTTGCCTCATCTGAAAAGAGAAAAAGAGCTCAATATCCCTCGATGGTGCAGAGGATGGGAGGAGAGGTGAAAAGAACAGGTACTACACCGAAAACAGACATGCTTCCACCGCCATTGATGAGGCCATTATTGCACAAATGAGGAAAGATTGAATCGAAGCTCTTCCGTCGGCCTCCCTCCTCTCTCTGGCCATCCATGAGCAAATGATTAATTGAGCACAAGGGTTCGACTGCTGAAATGCACGATTTCCAGCCCGCCCCTCCCTATCTCCCCGAGCTTTGGCGTAGACCACACGAAGATAACGCAATGGGGCCATGTCTGGTGGCAAAGCAATTTCCTACGTTTGAAAGTGCTGTTTGTGAGCTAATGACAGCTCTCTCCCCCTCCACTCCCCTAATCCATCCTCTCATTTAGCCATCAGCTTGCCCTTTCTCCCTCCGCCTGCCTGTTGTCTGTCACATAAAGACTCATCTATTGACTAAAGATTTGTCCAGTGGGAGGCCAACCCGTGTTAGAAATTAAAGATGCATGGAATATCTGATTCAAGGGAATCTGTGCTCTCGAGTTCCCAAAGCGGGACCGCCAGCACCTAGCTATCAGTCTAGAGGACAATTGTTAAATCTAAAAAGAACTAATGTTTTTTATGGGAGCACAGGGTATAGAAATGATTAGGATAAGGGGTGGCAGGGGCCGAAAAGGAGCAAAGCTCAGTGTTATCGTTGCCAAGAGGAACATTCAAAAGGTCTTGCTTTGAGAAAATGACATTATAAGGGTAGAATAACTGCCAAACCATAAACCTGAGGAGAGGAAAATTATATTTCTCTAACCTTCCATATGAAATACACAATATTTCATTTTGTAATATATTTAGGTTTTGATCAAACGTTCCCCAAAACAATCCCTGGACGTCACCGTGACCACAGAAATGTGATAGCCTCTTCCATTCAGCATTTTTCTTGAGTCTGACGGCATGGCATTTTGTAACCAGGATTAATAATCCACCTCCTCATGCTCCCTTACACAATCAGTGTTTAATCTGAAAATACACTGCAAATACTCTGGAGGTTTAACCTGGTTGGTATTTCGTGGCTCTTCAAGTGAGTCTCTTTAAATAAAAATGTGAAAACCTCATTAAGCGAGTACATCTGTGGATTCAAAAGAAGAAGATGCCTTTGGCGAGGCCATAGTGCGGCGTGGTGCATATTGACAAGGCCTGGTGAACCGCAAAGACGTCCCTTTGGGGCACATTGCCCATGCCATCATGCTAAACTCACTTTAGTTCGACCAGCAAGGAATGTGCCAAGCTGTCAAGAAAAATGTACCGTGCACACATTGACAAATGACAGCATTTGGCAGGAGGAGAGGACGGTGGTAAAATTAAAATTTGGGCCTTCTTATCAATGCATGGTGGGAAGGAAAGTCACCTTCAGGAGATGGCACGGAAATGTCTCGGCTCATAAAAAAAAATTACACAGCGGGGCAAAAAAATTTCACATGATTTTACATTTGATTCAGTGCCAGAATTTTCTGTACAAAAGTGGTTATAAAATATGCAGAGGCTCCAGCGCTTGTGAGAGTGCTGTGTATAGACGAAGCTGAGTGAGGTATATGGGGAATTTCCAAAATGCTCTTTCTTTACAATACTATAAATTCCCTTCTCATATTTAATCGACCTTTTATAAAATAGCCCTAAAGGACCATTATAACATATTTGTGAGCGTTTCCACAAAAGAGCCAAGTGTTTAAAGACAGCAACAAACATGAAGTA